TTCGGTGTACTTCGTTCAGTTACGTATTACTAATGAGAAGACGACGATCACATGAGAAAGTAAGACTTCCAGTATCTATCTCATACAATAACTACTGATTTGGTAAATTTATCGAATTCGGAAAGTATTATCCTGTGTTGAAAATTCAGCGAAGAATGTTAGGTTGTCTTATAAAATTGAAAACTCTTGCTAGAACGACATTAATAGAACCTTAAACAATCAAATAGATCATTTTTAATAAACCCAAAAATTGTGGAATAATAAAATATGTATGTAATAATAATATTTTTTTAAATTAAATTCAGTAGCACAAAAATATAAGTATGTATGTATATTGTAATTATAATTAATTTATAAGTGTATTTCTCATTAAATTATGTTTAATAATAAAAAATAAACTCGATATTTCAACCACATCATTTTGTTTCATTCCCGCATAAGACGCTTTCTCGCATAAGACGTTTTAGAGAGCTGGTCCCTTAAAGAGCGTCTTAAGCGAGTTTTACTGTAATTATTAAAATTGTTATTATTCTTCTTATTATTATATTATTATGAAGTTTGTTATTCATTTTTATATTTCTTCTTCTTCTTATTATTATTATTATTTTAAGGCTATGTTTAAAAAAGTCTATAACGTTTATACAAATAAACGTGTGTTCCTGTACAGACGTACTAACAAAGTTATATTACTTATATTACAAAAAAAAGCCCTAAAAAAATCAAAGGTTATATTCAATCTGTTAGGTGTTTGTTACCTATATTTAGTAGAGACCTTCTATAGATCACTCATAAGATATTTAAACAACAACAATTTACAACACCCAAAGTTGTCATAACAAACTGAACAAATTTTTTTCTGTTATAAATTTTACCACATAGTCCATACACAATAACGTTTTTAATTTACTTTTGAATATTATTAGTTTATTGCTACTATTAATCTCATTATTTTATGGTTATTAAAAAATATGTTATTACTAAGATTCGGAAGTTATAGGAGCTAAAAAATGCAAAATATGCATGAAAAAATTTCAAAATATGCATTAAAAATGATGTTAAATATAAAATAAAATTATTCCTTATTCCATAAGAAAAATTTACATTAATTAATTGTCAATAAAATAATTATATATTACGTAAAACCTGTTCATAATTGAAAAAAATTATAACTGGTTGCCATTTTGACAACATCTCATTGAACTAAAAATATTATTAAAAATATTTTTTCAGTATTTTTGAAATTACGTTTAATTCTTTCAGTGATAATTTTGTGTTTCAAAATTTTTCAATTTCTTAACTGCCTTTGTACAGTTCAGATTTCTAGTTTGGTCAGCTATAAATTGAGAGCGAACAGAACTATATGTAATTCCTACAGTTACCGAGTCCTAATTATTTCGATTTAAAATGATGATTCCGCTCAAGATCGATTTTTGTCAATAACGATTCAAATTTAATACACCAATCACAGTTAGTGGTCCATTCGACACCCTATACGTATGCAGAAGAGCTGTATCTACACGTTACCTATATTGATAGTGTTCGTCAGGGATGGGCAACTCTAAATTACTAAAATTTCAAGTTTTAGAAAATTAAAATCTAGCGGTCTGATTCGCAAATAGAAACAAGAAAGCAAACAAAATAAGTCATTCAAATATGTATTTTAATTATCAATTATTTTGTTTATAATGTGAATTTTCGATATTAAAATCATATGATATAATATGAAAATATAGTACAAGTCAGATAAAAAAAGCAGGCCAGCCGCCAGTTACCTATCTCACTAGGTGTATTTGTATAGGTTTCATACTAAAAATATAAAATATCTTATAGGTACCTAAATTTTTCTTCTAACGACTGTTCACGTTTATTTGTAACCAATTCAACGAAATATGCAGATATTTAAACGAAGCCTAATGATTTTTATTGTATCGTGGCAATTAAAATATTCATTTTTTTCTTCAGTAGAGTATAATCGTATAAAAAATTAAATATAGTTAACTTATGTACAATAAGTTTTAACTTTTTATCCTAATTATTCCATCAAATTTGTGTTATAAAACACATGAATCATGAAATTTTCTACGAAAAAAAATAAAAATTAATGAGGTTAAAATGTTTAAAAACATTGTATTATCATTTGAAAACATTTCATAATTTTTTTATATATGAAGTTTTGAAATACTATTACACCAAAAACATTGACTCTTCTCAAGACAAGGTAGATTCGTCTTTTAGGTACAGCAGTTCTGTTTCTTAAACCAACCTAGCCACTTACGTACACAACAAGTAACAGTAAGTTTCACATTATTATGTGACAATATTTATTCATCTGTTTTTATGTTAGTTTTTTTTTTTTTTTTATTGTGTATAAAAGCTTAAGATTCTTATAGATTATTCTATCACTAGTGTTTGTTGCATACCTTTCTATTACAATTATTATCAAAAATTATTAAAATGTTTCTTTCTAAATGTTTATTTTCTGCAATTTTTTTAACAGTATATTTAGTTATTACTGAATGTTCAGTAGAAGATTTAATTTTTGGAATGGAACTTGTAGATATAACCAATGGGATACTTTATAAAGGAGCTCCTAGGAGTGAATTAGGTAAATGCTTAATTTATAAAGTTTAGGAATATGTATCTCTTTTACTTTGATGCTCGTAAATTTTTTTTATTTATATTAATTTTTTATTCTATTTTTTAGCATATCATATTGGTGAGTGCTATTAGCTTTTTTAATTATATATATTAATATTTTTTTTTACTTTAACGTTGGTCAGTTTTAAATGTATATAATATACAGTTTTATTATAAATAGAATAAAAGAATAAGCTATACAATTTCTATACATATTAGTTATAATGTTTGTAATCTGGTTTTACCTCGGAAAAAAGAACATTTATCGTGAAATCTACCCGATCGTTTATCAATCTACAAATATCTGAGATCTTCAAAGCTCCAACGCCTTTCTTTTAAGGAGTATAGAATTTGAATCTACACATTAGGTTACCAATAAAAAGAAGGTGTGAAACCATTATCAATTTTGTATATTATTTCTTGTACATTAGTTTATAGAATATTTTTTAAGTGAAAATGAATAATATTCTATAAATAGAATATTTCTGTCAAATTCTTTGCCTTATTCGGGAAAATGAGAATACAATTACTAAATCATTCTTATGAATATTGTTTAAAAAACAGAAAACAAAAATACATATACCTTTATTGTTACCTAGTGATCTTAATAATTGATTATGCAAAAATAACTATTAATTGATATGTACGAAGGATTTATTATAATTATCATAATCTATTTTTCATGATAATATCTATGAATGGGACTTAAATAATATTATTATATTTATGATTTTTGATTTATCAGAAAAATTGAGAACATTTGGATTCAAAGGTTTGTATACTAGGTACACTATGAAAAAGAAAGTAAAAAAAAAATTCATAATTAATAATGGCCAACACGGACTTTAATATTATGTTTTTTTTATTATGATAGTTTTTCTCCCGCTGTAATTCAAGATTGAATGCAGCGTGCCTCGAACGATTTGACGCTGGCATTCCCAAAGTTGACAACAGACTGCCGCACATGAGCACACACATGTCTTCGATCAAAACTAATGCTTCGTTGCGCATCTTGTCGTTACTTTCAATATCAAAATTCAAATTTGTCGTTCGAACTCTGTGCAAAATGTCATCAACCATCTCGTCCTTGTATTTCTCCCACAATGCATTCGGGTTCAATGGATGACATGTGGCTATGATGATCGCAAACAACGTACGAATTTGATTTGCTGGCGCAGAAATGGTTGCATCGGCGAGTGTTAAGTCCCAATGTGAATCGTTTTCGAGCAAATTCAAGCATTGGCAAGCTTCCCGAAAAGTTGTATACAGTACACCAACGACAGTACGCAGGGAATTGAAGGATGTCGGGCCCCTAACGTTCACCAAAAGTAAGCGAAGATAGAAGCATTCGTCTTGGCGTGGATGAACTATGTATATTCGTCCGAGGGAATCAGTCGAATAGACATCTACGAAGCCAGCAACAGCATCACCTTTCTTCCTGCGTTGAAACTTCTTTGATGCAGCATTCCATGTATAATAGCGTGGTATTTCCGAATATAGTAAAGTCCTCGCGAACGGATCGCTTTCGCATGTCGAAAAAAAATTTGTCAATGTCGTTGCTGGTGGTCGTTCTGCTCTTTGCACTGCGTTCGCTTCCGTAAAGTATACACGCTGACCGTTCTCTAAGTGAACTGCCAAATGTGCGACAGTCGGGTGACGTTCATGAATTGTAAATGAAAACAGCCGTCAAATTGCCTCATTACAACTCACGTAACGTCCAAGTTGAAATTTCATCACCTCATCGTTTGCATTTGGATCAGCAATGTCAAACACAGCCATGTCACTCCCTTTGTTTACATATTTGCAAACATATTTGATAGATTTTATGGAGTTGCAATACTCAACATTGCAGTGATTTGAGAACTTTTTCGACAAAAGTGGATAATATGAAACGATCCAGCGATTATCGACGACGACATCTTTTCCCTTGACTTTCATTATGATTGATCTGCCGTTGTCATCTGGAGAACGACGCCGATACAATGGATATCCGTCGATTCCACTGATTGTGTCAGCCACAAACGGACGCGGAAAACGCTTAATGCAGTTTCCGTTTTGCATGCACGGTGACCCAGGATTCTGAGTTCCGCAAGGGCCATGTATCATGTTCGTGGTCACAACAGAATGCAGCTCAGGATCTGTTTCTGGATCTGGTATTTCGGCAGAAATGATCGAATCAATATGATCTGGTCAAACCTTGTCAAACATCCAAAGCAGAATGTGCGCATGTGGTAAACCACGCTTCTGCCATTCAACCGAGTACATCCAACAACGGATTGCGCCAAAGACCTTCTATTTAACGATGTAATTCATGAGTACTACGATCTTTTGTTTGAATAATCGTGCAGTGATGTCATGTCGATCACTTGGTGTTTGTCCTGTCAGCAACTGATTTGTAATTTCGGGCCATTTCGGATTGCAAGTAAACGTGATGAACAAATCAGGTCGTCCGTAATTCCGCACGTACGTCATCGCATCTTGAGCATATTCCACATGCATGTGGTGCGGGCTTCCAATATGAGTAGCCGGGAGAATAGTCAAACGACCAATGTTGGTCGCGTCTCCTTCGGTAGCGATGGCATCACGCAAGTGGATGTACTCGTCTGATCGTAACTTTGACTGATTGAAGCGAATGAAATTGAGACGCTCCGTTTCGACCTTGACGTACATGTCGACGCAGTACTGTTGAAACAACCGGCGATATCTCAATAGATGGTTGTCAATATCTTGTCGAATCATCAATCGATATGCATAAAAATTCATTGAGCTGACATTTTTATTCGTTTCTTCTCCTGAAATATGAATTCAAACTTAGTTATAGTATGAAAAAGAAATTATGACCTGTAAACAAACCTGTCATTGGGTTGACCATCTTTATATTTAAGTGATAGCCATCCTCTCCTCGACAGAACATCAACGAGTATTGAAGTGCATCATATGACCGATGAGTCTCGTACACGCGCTGCAATTATCCACCATCGCGACGCTTAAGAACAATATCGGGTGATGCCACATTTTCGCCAACTACTACTCATAAAATATTTTTCAAATTTTAAAAATGATTTTTGATCTCACACATTTAATTTTATATTGCTTGATTGATGATGTCAAAATATATTATATTACAATATACTTTACACAAACATTAAATTACACAATAGTATTCAATTATTCATTTTTTAAATAGATTAAAGACAGATTATTGTATTCAATTAAACCAATTATAGTTATTGCTAACAGTCTGCACAATTCAAATGTACATATGTGATATGCAATTTATATTATAGCCTGAGAACATTCTATTAATGACAATACAGTTGTTTCACTCAGTTTAGACCGTGAATTCACTATTTTATATGTTTAGCCTTTCAGTTGTTTACATTTGAAAGATACAGGGGAAAAACAGTAGCACAATTTTTTTTTTTTTTTTTTTAAATATTTTGTCATCACAGAAAGTGCATAATATTTCTTTTCGATATCTAACTATCTATAAAATATCAAAAAAAATATTAAACATTATGTACAGTTTTTTGATTTTCAACTCGCTAACGTTTGACATGCATTTTCCATAATACGTTCATCTCTCCTTTACGCCCACATTGTCCGCGATCCGATGCAATCGGATCGCCTACCTGGGAGGTTCAAACGCGTTTAAATGGATTTTCAATGGTGATCGCTTGAGAAATCGAGCGCTCGATTCGACTTAAACTTTTTTGCGTACTAAACAGCACAACGCCTTCGACGTCAGGAGATATGACAATCCGCCGCAGGCGGATTGCCCTGTCAGGAATCGATATTCGCTGGACGATGACTAATAACTAGACACTTGATAACCGTTTCGGAGTGTATTTATTTATTTTCCATACTCAAAAGCATCGGGCGAGCCACGGGAAATTCATCCAATCCGCCGAAATTGGATTGCCCTGTTAGGTATCGATATTCACTGGGCGATGACTGATAGCTATAGACATTTCATTACTTTTTCGGAATGTATTTATTTATTTTCCATGCACAAAAGCACAGGGCTACGGGACAAGGTGTATTACACCTGTAAATTTAATGAAATAACCCACCACTAAACGTTCGAATTGGACTTTTATTATATTATAAAATTATTATTTATGCGTTTAAAACGACACCGCCAAAGTGTAAAACCACTAAATCAGAGGTACCAACGACTCAAACATCGTTATCACTGGTTTCGCCTACTAGACTTTTCTAACTGCGGTATTCTTAAGTCCTGTCTCCGACCTAGGAAATTCACTTCAAACGATTTTCAGCTACCTAGGGTATTCACATACAGCGAGTTTCATCGACCTAGGGTATTCACTTACTGCGAGTTTCACCGGTGCTAGTAATCTTAATAATCTTATAATATAATAAAAGTATATAAAAGTCCAATTCGAGCGTTTAGTGGTCGGTCATTTCATTAAATTTACAGGTGTAATACACCTTGTCCCGTAGCCCTGTGCTTTTGTGCATGGAAAATAAAACCTTTCAAATGTAAACAACTGAAAGACTAAACGTATAAAATAATGAATTCACGGTCAAAACTGAGTGAAACAACTGTATAGTCATCAATAGAATGTTCTCAGGCTAAAATATAAGTTGCATATCATATAATATGTACATTTGAATTGTGCAGACTGTTAGCAATAACTATAATTGGTTTTTATTTTTAATTAAGTATATATAATATAATAAGTTATAATGTGTAACACATACACACATAAATATATATATTTATTGAATATAGTAATCTATCTTTAATCTATATAAAAAATGAATAATTCAATACTGTTGTGTATATTACAATAATATAATATATTTTATAATTATCAATCAAGCGATATAAAATTAAATGTGTGAGATCGAATCATTTTTAAAATTTGAAAAATATTTTATGAGTATTAGTCTAAGATTGGATATCAAAACGAAAAAAGCGATTAATAATGATCGAATTCAATGAGAAAAAAAATGCAAAAATTCATTATGAGCATTTTCTTAAGGAGCCGCCCGAATTTCGCCGGAACGGGTTTCGAACCTGCCTACCTAACGTTGGGGGACCTATCCTATCATCTATCGCAGGGGTCTCCAACCTTTTTTTACGGCGGGCCAAATTTGATATACGCTTTGGCATCGCGGGCCAACATTTTTAGAAAATGTGTTGTCTAATAAAAAAAAAAAATCTTGTCTATCTAGGATTCTAGGAATATCTGATAGGTTATGAAATTGAGAAATAAATAAGAATAGATGAGATTTATTTAAAAAAATGTATGTTTATTTATATAATTTTTTAATTTGTTAATCAATTTAATAAAAAATAAATTAAAAACAATGAAAATTAATATATTATTTTCAAAACATTAATTAGCTTGGCGGGCCGGTGCAAAAAGCTTGGTGGGCCGGATCCGGCCCGCGGGCCGTAGGTTGGAGACCCCTGATCTATCAACTACAGTTTGAGTTGTAATCTACGACCGAATTTCGAGTACTTAAACCGTTTTAGAGATGCGACGAATACTACATTATACGTCGTTTAACCGATACAATTTTTACGATTCGCGTGTCACGAAACCGTAAATCGCATATTTATTGTCGTTTAGAGTGTTTCTGACGTATTTGTTTACATTATTTAATCGTATACGTCTTAGTGACGTACTGAGTTTATTATCACAGACACATATCACGATATCGCCCCAAATGTATGCGATTAAAAGCATTAAAACGACTCGAGAGCAAGACTCTCTCGAGAATCTGTTAAACCTGACGCGCGTTTCTTTTTTATTATACACATAAAATAAATCGTATTTCGTACGCCGTCGAGACAGTACCGATGAGGTCGCAGAGGCGTCCGAGGGTGGAGACACCGAAAACAAAACGACGCGTATTCGATACGGATAAATGATTTATCGTATCGTAAAAAAAAAAACAGTAGTGACGATACGACGACCGACCGGAGAACGCGCCGCAAACGGAATTCGGGGACGCGCGGCTCGCGAGAGACGCGTTCCGCGCGATCGGAAAACGCGCGGACGGGACGAAAAAGACCCGCTCTGGGCTATAGCGTCGAGAACGCGGCTGAAAAAGGTTTCGAAAGGCCGGAAAAAACGGTACATAAAAACAATAATAATAAGTAATAACGACCGATAACGACGACGGCGGGAGATAACGATAATGGTGCGCGGGCGATAACGCATATAACATATATACAGAAAAAATTTTAACTTTTCGATTGGTCGAGACACTAAACTTATCGGCCCGTGTAGCAACTATTCTTCGTTTTATATTATAAAAAAAAAAAAAAAAGAAGAAGATTGTACTTGTACAATAATTGTACATAATATACTTGGATCACAGATATATAAAAATACTTTTTTTACTATTTTTATATATCTGTGGGTACTGCTTATTATTTCTTATCACCTATCGATGTTATCAGACATATAAAACAGAATAAATTTTATTCTGTAATCTGTGGTTGTAGACGTTGTAGTATCTTGTTATTATATTATTATTCTTTTTTGTTGCTATTTAATATTTATGGTACTTGTTCGACGATTTCCATAATCCGTTATTATTGACAATACTAAGATCATTGAAGAGAAATTACCTATAGTGAGGAGTAAGGACAACTTATAAATCCTTAGTTGTCACGTACATTCATTAAGAATACCTGTGATAAAAAGTAAGGTGAAATACTTAATAAAAATAAATAGTTACATATTGAAAATTCATACTAGAAATATCACTAAATTTTAAAATTTGTGTATAATTTTCAGGCACTTACAGTTTTTTGTTCGTCATCACTGTTTTATAATATTGAAATGAATTATGAAGTCGCAATATTATTACTGTGCAATTATATTTTTATTTAAACTTATACCTAACAGCATAGCATCTCAAAACGGTAAATTATAAATCTACTAACTAGTTTGTGTATTTAATTTTAAACTTATTTATTAAGTTATACAAAATCGAAGTTATGTTCAATCACTATTTATGGTTTAAAAATATTTTTTCTCAGATGATGACCATGATTTATCACTCTCTAAACAAAAGCAAAAATTAATTCAAACTACAAATTTAAATAATTCAACACATCTCAGGATGGTAGGTACGTTTTATTATTGGTTTATTAAACGATAATAGAATTTTGACTTTTTAGATATTATTTAACTTTCATAATCATTATATAATTAAAATATAATTATATAGAATATAGACTTTTTTTAAGATTGATCTGAGTTATATGACAGTAAAAAAAAAGAAAAAAAAAGTGATGTCAATGTTACTGTTCTATTAATATTTATGATTTGTTTATCTTATAAATTAAATTTATAAGACCGTTAGGGAAAATAGAAATAAAACAGGATTTGACTGTAGTTTAAGACTTACAAATATTCTGTAATAGTTTTTTGTGTTTAAAGATACGCCATGAAGATGATTTGGAACGTATAGTCTCTGAACATAAGGCTTGTTCAAGTATGCCCTATCCAAGTATCAGTTGTCATATGAATACAACATGTGTGTATGGAAATCAAACAATAGCTATATGCAAAGCTAATGTGGATTGTCTGGTATATAGTATGTTTTGAATTTATATTTTTACTATAATGAAATATGTGCATTTTTTAGGGTGAAAATACTTTTGCTAAAAACTTGACCTGTCGGTTTTGTTATCAGACTGAGTTTTGGGAATATGAATGTGTAAAAAAAATTTGTAATTCTGCTGCTTCTCCGCCAGCTTATTACAGGTTATAATTTTTATGATCAATAGTATTCATTGGTTTATAATCTAATTTAGGTGTAGATGAAAAATACTAATTTATAAAAACAGATAGATTAGATCATATCCTTAGATTCTTAACTTCCTATTTATTTAAATAAAAAATGTTTATTATAGGGCTAATTGTACAGTGAACAGAGATGTTTTGTGTTTGGGAAGAAGAACATTTTTAAAAAGACTGCGCTGCAATTGGACAGGTGGTCATCGGTGGTCAACTGCTTTAATTTTAAGCGTTACACTCGGAGGATTTGGTATAGATAGGTAAGTAATTCATGCATATTGTAAGTGATTATAACTGAAATATTATTTAAATTTTTTTTTTTAATCAGGTTTTACTTGGGACATTGGCAAGAAGGCATTGGCAAATTATTCAGTTTTGGAGGTCTTGGTGTTTGGACACTTATTGATGTATTATTAATATCTATCAGATACTTAGGTCCAGCAGATGGTTCTCTATACTTGTAAAAAAATGTCAAAACATTGATTTTATTACATTTACAATAAAATGTTAAATATTAGTTATTTTAAATTCGCATAAAAATATACAATTTAAGATCATTATAAATATACAATTTTGTCAATATGTAGCTAAATTATTTACTTATTACCTATTTAAAAAAAAATAGGAGATTTTTTAACCAAGAATATATCTGATTTAAATTCTATAGAAGAAAAATAAAACTAATAAATAAATAATACATTTTCTATAGTATATTATATTTTATTTAAAAACATTTTAGTTTTAAAAAGATTTATAATAAATTTAAATTGAGGATAATTTTGAAAATTTGTTTCTAATATAAAATTTAAATCATAAATAATGAAATATATAAACAGTTTTCATTTAATTTATAATTATAAAATATATAAATACAAATAAATTTAATTAAGTTCTAACTTTATTAGGGTTTATATTAAATATTTGTTTAAGGTCTTCTAAAGTAATTTTAGTACCTTCTACATTACTATAACCACCAAAAATGTTATTAGCAATTTCAATCTTTTGAGTTTGAATTGTTTGAATTGATGTTTCAATAGTATTATTACAAATGAACTTGTACACATTGACTGGTTTTTGTTGTCCTACTCTATAAATGCGATCACAAGCTTGTGCTTCAAGTTGTGGATTCCAATGAATGTCCACCAAAAACAAATGGTTGGCAACTACCAAATTGAGACCAACACCACCAGCAGTTAATGACAGTAATAAAATCTGTAAGAAAATTAATTAAAATATAAAATTCAATAAAGTAGCATTTATACATACAAACATTGCATAAAGGGTAAAAATTTCAAAAACACCCAACAATGTTTAGATAATATTGAAAAGGTACTTTTCTATTACATGACAACCACAATATTTTATGTCTTAGGATACTTTAAGATGACAAGACAACTTTAATTTTTGGCATCACTTCCAGTTTATTGTGATTACCATAATATTGAAAATTAGGTTAGGATTAGTTTTTTTATTAAATTTTGTTTTTAATGAGAATTAAAATAATAACATCACTTCAACAAAAATTAAATATTAAAAAATATAATATTTCTTTTTGATGTCTTGGTAATATATTTAATAATTATAAAATATAAATATTATGCTTTTAATTTAAAACTAAAAAACAGTTAGAAATAAAATTGACTCAATAAATAAATATTACTTTAAAATTAATAAGGCTAGAATTGTATATTTATCTTTTACATCAAAATACTTTAAAATATTATCCAGTATTTAATAATTATAGTGGCTATTAATATTATAGTCTCACTAACCCAGAAGTAACATTCAGAACAAGGTAAAACTAATAATTTATAATTTATAAAAGCGAAGAATTTTAAAAAGTAATTGCAGATGGCATATTACATAATATATTAAAATTATATAAATTAATTACAGTAATTATAACATATGATATAAAATTATACTTTATGTATACCTTTGGTCCACCGTTCACTTTGTTAAATTCACTAATTATTTTGTTTCTAAGGAGAACAGGAACAGCTCCACTAAATATTTCAGTTTTGACATTATACTGAGATAATTGTTTATTTACAAGATTTAACACACTTGGCCATTGAGAAACAATAACTGCTTTATCCTCTGTATGTAATACTTTTTCCTTAACCATATCACAAACAGCTTTTATCTAAAAAGAATAAATTGTTGTACAACTATAATATACAAGCTAATCATAAATTTGTACAATAAACTTTAAAAAAATTATACAACATTACAATAATCTTTTAATGCTTTATTGTTTTCATACTTTTGAACTAATCCATGTTTCTTTAAAAATTACGTTACTATTTTTAATAGTATCTTTTTCAGTGCTTGGAACACCAATAGACATTCGACTCAAGTGGTCTACTATATCTACATCACCAATATCTTGTATGCCATCAACTTTAAGACTTTCATCTTCCAACATCTATATAGCAATAGTGTCAAGTTTTTATTTAATTATTAAATTGTCTATCAAAAAGTAAATAAAACACATACATTTTTCAACAAACATGGATGACAACATAGTTGCCTTAATCGCAAAATCAATACTAAGATATGATGAGCTTGAATGTTTTTGTTATTCAATAACTGTTTGAATAATTTATCCAATTCAGGATGATCTTTAAAAATATCGTTACTATTTTCTATAAAAATAAAAGAGCAGTTTTAACATCATTCAATGATAAACTTCTTTTCAGTGTTGCTTACGACTTAAATATTTAGCTTTATTATTCACTGGAAAACCACGTTCAACAGCATTTTCTTTATCAGCTTTTTCATATAGATATGTGGCAAACAGCGAACTAAAATTTTACTTAAATAAGTTTAAAGGCAATTTACTGGAAAGACTAACAAACCTCGAGAATTGCAAAACTTTTTCATAGGCATCTTTTTCTTCATTAAATAAATCAATTTTGACTGTATGAAATGTTTTTGGTGGTAAATCAAATGATGTTGTTTCTTTTAACTGGTCTTTAGTGCGTCGTAACATCAGTGCCTTTACTAATAAGGAAAGTCGGTTTTTACCAGCATCATCATTATTCCCTACCCAACGTTTCCAAACCTAAAAGCAAAATTGCTTATTTCAAAATTAATTTCACAAAAAAATAATTTAAAATAATCATACATTTAGTACATAATTTTTCAAAGTAAAAATTTTAAACTATTAGAAAAAATTGAAATTTAGACGTTTAAAAAGTATTATTTTTATTAAAAAAGTATCTAGAATCTAATAAAATTAGAACCATATTTATACTCAATAAATAGAATAAACAAAATAAAAGCAAGAGCACTATTAACCTAGTAAAATAACCATTCAAAATTTAGAAACAATGAATTTTAATAACAGTAAATAATTTATCAAATTTGTTAAATAACAATTTTGATAAATTATTATATTCAAGCCAGCGAGAGAACGCTACTCTTTGTCATAGCCAAATAAACGAGCTCTGCAGTTTTATACCCAAATTTAGTTAGTATTGTTACAAGTACATGTAATAATTTAATATTTATAGATCATATAATTAAATTAAAAGAGAAAATCTACAACAAATCAAATAAAAATGTCTTATATTAATTAAATACTTAGTATACTGTAAAATAATTAAAATAGCAATACTTTTATGCCTAAATTATTTATAAGAATATATTATACCAGTTTGTCATTTTTTTAATAAGATTAATAATGGAAAACTTATACTTACTGGCCAGTCATCAAAAGGACGACACTTAATAAATTTTAATAACGCATAAAAATCAGCTTCCTTGTTATGAATAGGAGTTCCGGTTAATGCCCACCGATTTATACCAGAAAGTGAACTTACTGCTACAGAAGTTTGACTTTTATGATTTCGAATTGTATGGGCTTCATCAAGAATGATTCGACACCATTTTATTTGAAATAGTGGACTCTATAAAAATAAACTAGTTAACACAATGTTACATTTTTTGATAAAATAGATACGAACTGTTTTACTATTTTTTTGGTCCCACATAACTGTATGGTATGTAGTAATAACTATATTTTTTTTTGCCAATCGTCTAGCAGAAGACTCTCTATTTGTTCCATAATATTTAATAACATCTAAAACTCTTGGCTTTACTTTAGATTTTACTTCATTTTCCCATTGACTAATTAATGATGATGGGCATACAATAAGGGTTCCTCCTTTAAAAGCTGAAAAATCAAGCATTATAAAATAATTTAATACTAAGTGTAAATTAAATAATAAATTTATACAATTAAGATTTGAGTCTTCAAAAGAATCATCTGTATCAGAATCTTCATCTTGGTCTTCCTGAGCTTCATAAGCTTTAAGAACTAGAGAAATCATTGTTAAAGTTTTTCCTAAGCCCATATCATCAGCTGAAAAATTTAACAAAAATGAATATTAATATTTAAGAATTGTTCAGTGCACATAAATGTTATTAATATACCTAAAACACCTCCACGTGGTTTTTGACTCTCTCTCCACATCAACCAAGCTATAGCATGTTTTTGGTGGGGCATAAGCTCCACTTTAAGTTTTTGTGGATCATCAGCTAAAATATTGGAAGATGGACAGGTTCCTAATGATTTGTGCAAACTATTAAGGACGTCTAAAGTCATAGTTTGCTGTGTACGATAAGTATTCAAAGCTATGAAAAAAATAGGTGGTTTTAGGTTTTATTTTTTTAAATAACTAAAAAAATATATATTTATTACAATAAATAATATATATTTAAAAATACCTTTGTCACCCATGGCATTAATGTCAATATTACCAGCAGCCTTTTTTGTTAATGCGTTATTAATATCTAATGTTTGTAAATGATATGAATGAGGTTTTTGAGGTATTTTTGATTGATCTGAATAAATGTTATTAAAAATAAAAATTATGCATTATTAATTAATTACATTTAGTTGGCTAAAAATATAGACATTGTTAAACCTGGGTAATCTTCTAATTTTTTGAGTACATTATTTAATTGTATTCTTGTATCTTTAAGTGCACTTTCTTCTTTTATTATAGCTCTTTTTAATTTATAACCTCCATCAGGTAATAAATTTAAATTAGTAATTTTCATAGTGTTCTAAAATTAAAGTAAAATAAATTTAATCAAAGATAAAAATATATGTATCATTTACTCACTTTCATATTAGCAATATTTTTTGTAAATCGTCTTAGAATTTCTTCTAATCTTGTTTTTTCCATTTTCAGAGATTGAAAATCTCCACTCGTCAGTTTTTTTGTATTATCAGTTGAAATTTCTTTTGGCGATATACAAGATGTTTCATCAAATTTTTTGTCAGTTAAATCAATTTTTAAATTATGGTGTTTTGGTAAATATAATTTAGATGTTTGTGGACTATCATTAATTAAATCAATTGTTTCAATAATATTCTCATTTTTTTCAATCTTTGATGATTGTTCTATGTTTACTTTATCAGATTTTGGATATTCTAAAATACTACTCTGAGATATTGGATCATGTAAAGAGTAAATAGTGTTTGAAAACTTCAAATCATCAATAAATGGTCGGTATT